CCCGGAGTCACCGCATTTGAACCTCCGTAGCCACAAGGGGATTTTTATTCCTCCTTGGATTTGAACCTGAGACCTCCTGGTACTTTTGACCTTTGGAGCCAAACTCGAACCAGTCAGGCACCACCCTTGTGGTTAAGATTAAAATTTTATGGAACATGACATATATAAGAGACATTACTAAATACATCTAGTAGAAATTTTTTTTTGATTATTCACAAAACCATGAAACAAGTCAAAAATTATAATAACAATAGATTGATTGTCAAATAATAATAAAATATTTTATGTAGAAGCAAAAATAGATAACAATAGTCAATAAAAACAATTAGAACAAGATAACCAAATAACAATAGTCAATAAAAGCATAAATTGATAAAATATCCAAAAAATATATATAGCAATAGCAAGCACATGATCTTAACTTTGAATTATTGAAGTACGAAAACAGTCAGGTTTTTAGAGATAGCAATAGCGAATATCATTGGACCTTGTTGGAGATAAAAAAAGTAGAGAGAAAATAAACAATAGCATATAATGAATGACCAATTAATATTTTTTTCTTCTCCAATGTAATTAGTTGATATATTTTAAGACCTTATTTTCTACTAAATTCCTTTTGTCTCTAATTATATGTTACAATTTTTGGATTTCTTTAATTTATTAAAAATTTTAGACTACTATTGTAATTTAGGGGAAAATTTTGGGCCCCTGATATTTTTGGGCCATGGGCGTGCGCCCGTGTCGCCCTCCCCCAGGGACGGCCCTGATAGGCACAAAACACCAATTTTAGTAATTAATGTTTCCATTTGCTAAAATCTTCATTTTTTTTCCAAATTCAGTTCCTGTAATTTATTTGTGATTCACATCAACAGAATAAATCATATCAGCCAAAATATTAAAATACCAAAATCAAGATAATGTATCTATTATTTAAATAAAGAAATTCTTAATTGACCATGAATATATAGCAAGTTCACTTCAATGGTCACGTCTCTATCGCCTGTTGAAGTCCCATTAGAATACATATTCAGTAACCATCATCAACCTCCACAGCAAGTCAACATATGAAGCCAAATAAGTGGATGTCATAGCTGATGTAACAAACTTACTGATGCAACTCCAACATAATAGTATAACTAATACTTGTTTAGACAGTCATAACTTCTATTTCTATTTTAAAAATAATACTGCTTTTGGACAGTTTTGGTGTGTGATTTGCTGTTATATCTATAAAGACATCATAGGGCCAGGATGGAAGATTAAGAAGCAAGGAAAAGGTCCATGCCCAACATTAGTTGTGTGGGTGCCAAAGAAAMCCGGCTTCACCGAGTTTGTTAAAGTCAACGAACAATTAAAAGTGGAAGGTGGATTCTCCRTAGCCGTATTCTGTCATGCATTACAATTATTGCCTTTCAACATCAAGCCTATCTTCAAAACTTTCACCGATGATAAAGGGGAAAGTAATGGCACCTATGATCAACTTCTACACCACATTGAGGGCAAGGTATACTATTGTGTGTGTGTATATATATATATATATATATATATATATATGCGTGTCTGTTTGTGTAGTCGATTCATATCTTATTGTGTGATTAAAACGAAACAGGACCATGTGGAAGATATAAAACACCAATTAACTAGATGCCAACCTCTATTCATTTGAAAAAACATCTAGTATATTGATGCCTCCATGGAAGGATCAAGAAACAGGAAATGTTATAAGCTCGAATATTTCATAATTCTCTATCTTGCAGACTTGTCACGCTGTGGCAGCAGATGTTACCGTGCGTGGTGATCGAGCTCAGTACGTTGATTTTACGATCCCCTATCTGAGCTCTGAAGTTTATATGCTTGTGCTTGCTACACATGAATGGAACCAAACCCTGTGGACTTTTGTAAGACCTTTTACCAAGAGATTATGGATCACACTACTTGGTGCGTGTATTTTTATTGGACTTGCAGTTGCAATTCTGGAATACCGTGTTAGCAACCCAAAATTCACATCCCCATTCTATCAGAAACTAATAATGGTCATCTGGTTTCCAATTTCGACATTCTTTTTCCATGAAGGTACTTATTTTGATATATAGAAAATTTTAATACCTCTAATTAATTACTCCCATTATTCCATATTATAAGTTTATGTTAAACTTGTTGTGGGTTCTACGAAAATATTTCTTCATTATTTTCTATTTCATTTTTGTGCAGGAAAGATACTCAATAGGTGCTCCAAGATTGTGCTTGTTATCTGGCTAAGTATGATTTTCATAGTAGTTCAGATTTTCACAGCAACTTTATCTTCATGGTTGACACTAGATCAGCTACGTCCCAGATTGCCCTCGAGTTTCGAAAATGTTGGATATCAAGATGGTTCCTTTTTAAAAGATCTTATAGCGCAAAAATCCAATTATTCTGGGAGGAATATAGTGCCCCTAAAAGGCGTTGAAGAATTTAAAAATGCTTTGTCCAATGGCAGTGTAAATGCCATCTATGATGAACTTCCTTACATCCAACTCTTTCTTGCTAAGTATGGCTCTGATTACATGAAGTTTGGACCAATAAACCAAGAATCTGGAATTGCATTTGTGAGTCTCTCTTCTCCTTAACTCTCTTGTATTAGTTCAATCCTTTACGGTTCCTTGATTTAGCCAATGTGGAATCCAAACTACTTACTGAAAAATCAACCCTTAACAATTGAACCCTAATATTCTTGACCTGAAATCATGAATAAACAGATAGACAAAAAGAACTAAACAATTGAACAGAAAACCCTAGGCAAAACCCTCAAGCTATCAGAGGTGGATCCAGAAAATTCCAAGAGGGGACACAAAATAATTAGCATAATGTAAAAATAAAGCAAAAATTGTTTATGAAAATTATGGTTTTATTAAAAATGACATAGAAGTGGTCTTTTGTCTTTTCTTATCTTTCTGTTGTTACCTAAAAAATAAAAGAAGAGCCAAAAAAATTTAAACTTGCAACCTCTAATACGAGTGCATTATACCACATGCATCGACACTTTCGAACAATCTCATTTTGTTAACTTAGGGGAACACAAAACAATTGAACCGCGCCAGCGTTCTGTGACATGGGGTCCATTATGTGCTTCTAAGTTCATGTTGTAGTATTATATTACAATCAATTACCTAACTCCATGTGTTTAATATCTCAGGCATTCCCTCGTGGATCTCCTTTATTACAGAACTTTTCTAGGGCAGTCATAAATGTCACAGAAAGTGAACTTATGATGGAAATGAAGACAAAATATCTTGGGTTCTCTACTCTTGATAAATCACAACAAAATCAAGCCCTTCCACAAAGTCTTGATGTTCAGAGCTTTATTGGATTGTTCATATTCATGGGGAGTGTGACTATAGTTGCAGTTATCTGGTCAGAAATCTCCCTTAGGAGGAGAAACAACAAAATCCTTCCCCTGACATCAACAGATAATTAAATGCATCTCCGACATACTACGAATTGCTTTGGGAAACCGATTAAAAGGAATCAGAATCCAAACTGCAGGCATGTACTGCAAACCCAAATAGGAAGTTTGATCTTCTGAAAC